GTTAGCTGCTTTTGCCTGCCCATTAGCTTGGGGATAATAAGGCGAAGAATGATTCAGACGAATACCAAACTCTGTCAAGAAGCTTAAAAACTTCTCCCCAGTAAAGACCAGACCTTGGTCGGTTGTTACTGAATGGGGAATACCATACCTATATATGATCTGATTTAGCACAAAATCAATCACCTCCTTCTGATCCACATTTTTCAAAGCAACCGCCTCCACCCATTTGGTGAAATAGTCTGTTGCAACTAGAATAAAACAATGATTCTTGGACGAGGGAGGATGAATTTTACCAATGATATCCATAGCCCAAGATTTAAAAGGCCATGGTTTTACCATAGCTTGCAATTCTGTGACTGGTAAATGAATTAACTGCCCATGCCTCTGACACTCTTAGCAGCCCTTGGCAAATTGTATGCAGTCTTCAAAAATCTTTGGCCAAAAGAAACCTAAACGATGAATAGCTCATCTTATATTCAGACCTGCCCGATGAGCTCCACAAATTCCACTGTGCACTTCTGTCATCACCTCCAAAGCTTGCTTGGGCCCCAAACATTTCAAGAGCAATCCCTCAAATGTTCTTTTATATAGCACTCCTTCTACCAATTAGAATCGCAAAGCTTTTAGTCGAATTCCAATTGGTACATTTGCTCATGGATCTTGTAAATACATGAAAAGTTCTGTCCTCCAGTCAGTTCCTGTTTCTGTCTCAGGGCCGACCTCTGCACATATATCTTTTAGGATTCCCTTGCAAGCTTTTTGAGCTAAAGCATTTGCAAATTGATTATCCTTTCTAGGGACGAACTCAATTATCACTTCGGAGATCTTTGATAACAACCGACCTACCAAATTCCTGTATCTGCGTAGGTGGGGATAATTGCAAACATACTGTTTGTTTACCTGGTTAATCACCAGTTGAGAATCCCCTTATATAATAACCGACTGGACTTTCCTGGCTATCAAAGCCTCCAATCCCAAGATTAAAGCTTCATATTCTGCCGAATTATGGGTCTGGCTTCCAATTGCAACTGCAAACTGACCCTTTGGCCGTCTGGTCCTTCCAACAAGACACCTGCGCCCGATCTGTTTCCTGAGGTAGAACCATAATAAAACATTAAACAATTTTGGGTGCTTACATAAGATATACACCCAGTCGGTTGCTCCTCACGACTTGCAAAGTCTGCCAAAAAATCTGCTATTGCTTGGCCTTTGACCGCCCTTAAAGGGGAATAATACAAATCGAAGGGCGCTAATTTAATGGCCCACTTCATAAATCTGTCTTGCATTGTAGGTCTTTGCAAAATTAACTTGATGAGATCAATCTTTGAAATAACCTCAACTCTTCTGGGTAACGTATAATGTTCAAATTTGGTGCATGCAAACACCAATGAATAACACATCTTCTCTAGCATTGTATAATTTAATTCTAGTCCTGTGAGAGTCTTGCTCAAATAATAAATTGCCCTTTCCTTTCCATCATCACCATCTTGATCCAATAAACAACTGACCACTTCATAGGTATTTGCCAAATAAACTTTGAGGGGCCGACCTTCCTTGGGAGGCATCAACACAGGTGATTGAGCCAATGCTTGCTTTATAGCCTCTAAAGCTGTCTGTTGGTCTGGTCCCCACTCAAAGGCGCTTCCTCCTGCCTTCAATAATTTAGTGATTGGTCTGACCTTGCCAGCAGCATTTGAAATAAACCGCCTGAGATAATTTACCTTCCCTAACAGACTTTGAATTTCCTTAACCGTCTTGGGCGGTCGGCTGGCAAGAATTGCCTTGGCTTTATTAGCATCGATCTCAATGCCCCTTCCATGAACCAAGAACCCCAAGAAACTCCCGGCTGATATACCAAAAGCACACTTAGTCGGGTTCATTTTCAATTTTATACTTCTTCATCCGACTGAAAGCATCTTTAAGATCCCTCATATGTTCCTCAAAACTAGAAGATTTGACGATAACATCATCAATATATAGTTCCATAGACTTACCAATGAGATCATGGAAAATTGAGTTCATGGCCCTCTGATAAGTCGCCCCAGCATTCTTCAAGCCAAAAGGCATAACTGTCCACTCATAAATACCTAATGCTCCTGGACATCTAAATGCTGTCTTGTGAATGTCTTCCTCTGCCAAAAAGATTTGGTTATATCCTGCATAACCATCCATCAAACTGAGAATTCTGTGCCCTGCTGCTGAGTCAATTAACATGTCGGCCATAGGCATCACATACTCATCTTTAGGAGTGACCATATTAAGATCTCTAAAATCGATGCATATCCTGATCTTGCCATTCTTTTTAACCACTGATACAATGTTGGCCAACCAATCTGCATAACGGCGAGGTCAGATGAAACCTACTTTAAGAAGCTTCTGAATCTCTTCTTTGATCTGAGGCATCAAGTCAGGACTCATACGTCTTAGAGATTGTTTACAAGGCTTGAAATCCTTCTTAATGGGCAATCGATGTTCTATCAGACTTCGCTCTAAACCAGGCATTTCTGAATAGTCCCAAGCTAAACAATCAATATTGTTTCTTATAACCTCGAGCATCAATTTTTGTTGCTCTTCAGACAAATAACCACTCATCCTGATTATTTTTGGTACCAGGTCGGTTCCTAAGTTAAATTTCAGCAAAGGATCTTGTGCTGAAAAAGCTGGCTCTGTTTTTTCTAACTAATTAGGCCAACGAAATTGTTCATCTTCTTGGAAATGAACATCACATTTTTTATTGTTTCTACTTTTTTCAAAAGCTGGTCTAAATAATATTGATTAATAAGTACACTACAATCTTGTAAATCTGCACCTTCCATAAGAAATATATTATAAAAAGTAGGTCTGGCTTACTCAAGAGCCACATAGTACACCTTGTTCTTTTAAAAGAACATTGAATTTTGGCCAATGAATTTAAAACCCTTCTTTGGGTATTCATTAGCCATAAAAAACAGATACATTTGAGGTACATGACCAGAATAAAAAACTGATTCTTCAACTTGTTCTGATGCTCCAAACGGATTGTCATTCGCTTCCATTTTGAAGACCCGATTGCCTTCCCAGAACATTAATTGTTGATGCAGTGTTGATGGCACACATTTAGATGCATGAATCCAATCTCGTCCAAGCAGGATTGAATATGTGGTATCTGGATCCACCACGAAGAAAACAGAAGAAATCTTTTTTGGACCGACTTCAATTGAGGCGACCATCATGCCTTCTGGTCTGGTCGGCTGCCCAATAAAGCTAGTCATCTCAAAATCCACAGGAGATAGATCGTGAATTCCCTTTTCTAACTTTTTGAGAGTCTTTAATGACATTACATTGAAGATGGCCCCATTATCTATGAAAACCTTTGTGATTGGTTTCCCACAAATATGAGCATTAACGTACAGAGGCTTCAAATGAGACGCCACCCCTTCTGGAATGGGAGGGAAGACTATTTGAGGGACCTCTGATTGAAAATCAAGATCCGAAATCTTTGCCCATTCTGGCTCTTCTATAAACTCATCCACCAGACTTGCCCACAAAGGCTCTTCCTCAACTCAATTAATTTCTGTCATTCGGCAGGGGATACGTGGCCCCAGTCGAGATTTGACAGACCTTGAACCAATCTCTGGGATTTCGTCTCTGACTCAAATCTCAGGTTGGACTGTTAGAGATTCCAAACGAAATTCCTCCACAGATGGGTTAATGTTAACCTTCTCGCAATGTTGACACCTGAAACCTTTAATTCTTTCATCTGACAAGCCTTTACCCTTCTTTTGCATGGACCAACCTCCCTCATTATAGTTAGAAGTATCTCGTATGCTGGTTGACTGCTTTGACGAGGTGATCCCTATGCGTCGACCTCCTTTTGCCTCATTCACTGTTCAAACGAGACAACCCTGATGGACCGACCTCCTTCAGTATACTTAGCAGCACCTCGAGTGTCGTTCGGTTGCTTTGATGGGACAATCCGTATGTACCGACCTTATTCCGGAGAATTATCAGCGCCTTGCATATTCGGTTGCCTCGAGGAAGCGCCGTTGTCCCTGTATCTCGCAGCATATCTGTGCTTGGCGTTCCAAATCTGAGTACGATTCATGCCTGGGAAACGAGGGTCCACATCGATTGGTAAAGGTTTCTTATTTCGAGTCCATTTGCTTCCGAGCGCACCTGTCCTCCTAGTCGGGTGGTCCCGAACCAAAGCTTGCTCCTTTAATTCCACGTTAAAAGAACCGTCTTGATTATCCTATTTTTCAGCCACTGTTTTTTCGCAGACTTTGAGTTTCTCTTATGGTTGGCCACTGTTTGATGAATTCCCTTTTCCCGATCTGGAACTCGCTTGTATATTAACCATTGCTATGGTTACTTTTGGAAACGGTTGTTGCTCTACTCCCAAAGTAATATACTTGAGCCGACCTGCTTTAATAGCCTTTTGGATCTCATTTCGAAAATGAGTGCATTGACTTTTATTATGTGTGAAAGAGTTATGCCACTTACAGTATGGCCTCCCTTTGATTTCTTCCTTAGTAGCCAACCTCTGCCTCTTTGGAATTCGGATTTGACCATCAGTTAGCAGAATATCAAATATCTTATCGGCCTTTGAATTGTCAAAGGTCGGTTGCCCTTTAGCTTCAGTTCCTGGTGCTGGCTTTAACTTAGAGCATACATAAGGCTTCCCTGAAATTATTTCGGCCGCTATCTCTTCTGTTCGATCATAATCAAAGTCGTATGCTTCTGTTTCCATACTTGCCATATGCTTAACTTTATTACGCCTGAAATTCTGATCATTTTCTCTAAAAAGATACTCCAAACGTCCAACCTTAGAAGCAAGGCTTGCCAAATCTTCTACATCATGGGCAGTGAGCGCCTCTCTCAGGTGACCATGCATGTTCCTGACCAATAAGTTGGTCATTTCTTTTTCATTGATTACAGTAGGACAACGTCCTTTCATCAAATGCACTCTTTCAATAAACTGTGAAGCAGACTCTTCTGAATATTGTTTCAATTCCAATAAATCAGTAAGAGAGACGGTCGGCAAAAGGATTGAAGAACCTAGCATGAAACGCCATCTCCAACCCTTCCCAAGTTTGTATTTGCCCAGGCGGCAGGTTTACAAACCATGAGAAAGCTGTTCTGGTGAGAGATAATCCAAATAATTGCAGTTTATAGAAGGTATTATTTCCAACTTCCCTTAACTGTGTTGTAAAGCGACCCACATGCTCTATGGTAGAGGATCCGTCTTCCCCTGAAAAAGCATGGAAGTCAGGTGGTCGATAATTCCTTGGCAGTGGATAATCGTTGATGATCCTTTCGGGGAAAGGCCTCTGATATGCAGGGTGATTGGCCATCTGAGGATTCAAACCAAACTGCACCCTTAAAACTTGCGTGATCTCCTTCAGATCCACACGAGGGTGTTGATGATCTGGAATAAAAATGGGATCTTGCACATGTCCTCCTTGCCTCTCCTCCCTAACAACGTTTGGCTAAAGTATCAACTCTTGGTCCCAAAGAAACATTATTAGGGAAAGTTAGAGGAGTCTTTCCCCTATCTGTTCGGTTGAACGTTGTGGCGCTTGGAAATGTGTTGTCCACGTATGATGGCCCTGCAAAATTTGCTTGCATTCTTGATGGTGATAACCCTGGTGGCGTCTGAGTGGGTTGAAGAGTAACCCTTGATAAAGCTTGGTCTAATATATTCTGCATCAGATTTTTTTGCTCGCGCAACATATTTTGCATCGCCGAAGTATTCTGATTCTTCAATTGCTGAACATAAGCCAACCAATCGGTAGGCGGTTGGGGAATGTCCCCTGGATTTGGCATGTTGGGTGGTGAAACATTTTCTCCCGCCGGTGCTGATGATGATTGAGGTTGTGAGCCTGCCATACTAATTTTTCTGATGATTCGGCCAGACCTCAGTCATATGAAATTCTCTGATAATGTAAGATCAGCAATCTTGCCTTTCTCCCACTGTGGTCGCCAATTTGTTGATGTATTTTTTCAACAAACAAAAGTAAAATCCGAAAATAGGAAATTATCTTCGAACTTGATTAATTAATGCCTGAGATTAGGAATCTCTAAACACTGTACGATACAGAAAATAAACTGAAAAGTAAAATACTGGAAATTTAAATGATGATCCCCGAATCACTGACTTTGTTGTCGTTTGAAGTTGATTGAAGATAACTTGTCAGTTTGCAAATTTTAATCCTTAAATACTCTTCAGAAACGGTATTGGAAACCGTCGCCCGAACGGTTACAACGCCTCTTTTTCAACCGTCTGCTAACCCTTCTCCTGCTGACACGTGCCCTCAGCCGACCAAATTATCATTCTCACTCACTCTCAACAGTATCCAACTCTTTGGACCGACCGCAGACCTTCCGCCCTTTTGGCCCGAATGCAACTCTTCCGCCCTGTTGGTCCGACCGCAAATCTTCCGCCATTTTTGGACCGACTGCAGTCCTTATGCCTTGTTGGTCCGACTGCAAACCTCCCGACTTGCAGACCACCCGACTTGTTTGGTCCAGCCGCAAACCTCCTAACTTACAGACCATCTGACTTGTTGGGTCCAGCCGCAAACCTCCCGACTTACAGACCATCCGACTTGTTGGTCCAGCCGCAAACCTCCCGACCTACAGACCATCCGACTTGCGGACCTTTCGACCTGCGGACTTTCCGACCTGCGGACCTTCCGACTTGCGGACTTTCCGACCTGCGGACCTTTCGACATGCGGACTTTCCGACCTGCGGACCTTCCGACCTGCGGGCTTTCCGACCTGCAGACCTTCCAATCCGCTATTTCCTTAGAAATACATCTACTTTACCTGAGTTCCCAGCAATGCCCCTCGACCAGTTCGATCATCTCAATTGTTAGGCCCATTTTTTCTTTTTACCTTGGGTTTTTTAACCTAATTCTAAATTTCATACGTAACAAGAACAAATTACAATTGTTTCAAACGGAAGGTTTGAAATTAGAATAAATTACGATCGTCACAAACAGAAAGTTTGTAAGTAGAATCAATTACGACTGCTTCAAACGGAAGGTTTGAATTTAGAATAAATTACATCGATAATTAAGGTTGTAATTATAATCGTAATTGATCCCCTTCCATTTTGGCCGAGTGGAGACGCCTATATAAAGGGCCTCTCCACTTTATTCTAAACAACCAACACCAACAACTCTCTCATCCTTCTCTCCTCTCTTCCAGCTTTCCGGCAACCTCCCCAACTCAGTTCCTCTCTCGTTTTTGTTCGCCGGAGCTCCAACGATTAGAGATGCCACTCTCATTGGAGACGGAAACTGTTTTATCTTTGGATTAGAACGCCAGCCACCGGAGGCACTACCGTGGCGTCTCTAATTTTCGGAAAGATGATCTATCCTCGACTCAGTTTCACGTTTATTCTCGCAATACCCATATATTCCAACATAAGACAAGACATGTTATCCCATTCTCGCGTCCCTACACTTGATCGATGAGTTCAGAGTTACACTTATCTTAATTGTTACGATATTAATTAAATATTTTTCAATATCATTAATAATTATTTATTTTTATTAATATTAATATTATTTTTATTTTTTAATTTAAAATTCTTTAATATATTTAATTATAAATATATTATTATTATTATAAAATAGATAATTTTGTCATAATCAATTCATTTACACAATTACACATCCAAAGCCGCCGCAGCCGCACCCGGTTCTCCTCTTTCTTCTTCCCAATTCTTTCATTTATTCCGCACCGATGATCATCAGTCATTCTTCTTCTTCTTTCATCATTTAAAAAAGGTTGAACCGCCGGTTAAGCCATTTGCAGACTATCGGTCATCCGCGCAAGCAGATCCAACGCGCGCACAATCGGTAATCCCTGGAGAAGCTATCTAATTTTCTTTTTTTTTCTTTTTTACGTGCCCAAAAAACCCCAGAAATCCTGCTATCATTCGTGGAGTATTTCTTTCTAAATCGTTACATCTGATTTTTCTAATTAACTTATTATATTAAGGAAAATCTTATAATCTAAAAATGATATCCATATCAATATATTTTTTTTAAAAGTAAATCACTACAAATTTTGTAAGTTGAATTGGAAAAACATTACTCCCAACAACAGACTATATCGTCAGTAGAATGGACAGGGCAGTAACAATTGATAATTTTACACATAGTTCCTCGCAATATTATCCATTCGTACAACTGGGCTAAACAACAAAACTCACTTGCACCTATAAATAAGGTAATTCGTGTAGTCATCTACACGCATTCAAATATATTAGTGCTCATATATATATATATATGGGTGAATGACACATTGGAAAAAAAATAAGTCAATTCAACTATTTACTTTATGAGTGTGTTTGTTTTGAGTTTGGATTTGAGTTTAGTTTTTGAAAAATAAAAATTTTGAATTTGAATAATTATATGATGTAATATAAATAATTAGTGATACAATATTTTGAATGTAAAATTAATTTTTAGTATGATATATAACATAAAATAAAAAAGAAAAGATATTTAGTTTGATATTTTTGGGTAAAAAAGTTTATAAATAGTAAAAAATTGATAAAATTTGATATAAAAAAAAAACACATACACACTGTAATGCTTCGAATTTAAAGTATATAAACTAATATTATTATATCAAATAAATATTATCAATTATTATATCAAATCAATATTTTAATAATATTAATGAGATAAAAAAAATATTTTCAAATAAATTATATCCTATTTTGTATATTGATTATGATTAAAGAGATTGTGAAAATAATAGAAGTAAAAATAAATATATAATAATAATAATAATAATAATAACAGTAATAATCATAATCATAATCATAATAATATAATATATATATATATATATATATATATAACAAACCAAACCCTCTCAAAGTAAAAGAGGCGGACATCCGTCCAGGAAAAAGGGAAAAGAAAAAAATAATAATAATAATTTAGTCATTTGATTTTAATTTTGATATTGATATTGTATTAGTTGCTATAAGTAGAGTTTGATTATAATTTTTAATATTAATTAAAATATTGAGATATTAAAATTAAAAATTATTAAAAAATTTATAATTGGCTATTTAACTATTTAATTGACGAATTTTTTTAGCTAATAACCTATTCGAAGTCCTAGTATTATACTATGAGAAATTTGTATCGATCCAAACTAAATTGAAAACCGCAATGTATTGCACCTGTCTGTTTGTTCATATCTTTAAGGATTTTTATTTAATAATCGGGCGATATAAATATTATGAGGTATAAGGGTTTTATAGTTAGAATATAGTATTCTACCAAAGGAATAATTTTAAGATCCGACGAGCTAGTTATAGAAATTAGTTTTTGAATAAGCAGGTAGGTCCTATGAATAAACATATAGCTCATCTCATTTGAGTAAATAATGTGGCAGATGTATGTTGAGGGATATTTGGGTAAAACTGCAAAAGTTTGGGAGTGTCGATAAAAATGTAAGCAATATAAAATTAAATCTAATTTTAAGAAAGTAGGTATGCATATGTGCATGAGATTATGATTACGAATATAATGTTAATGCGCTATTATGTGGATAATTTGTCAGTGCATGTATATATTTATATATGTGTGTACGTATGCATGTGTGAGACTTCACATTTTATAATATCTGATATAGCTATTTGATCATGTTGGTGAATTTTTGAAAAAGAGGATAGGTAAGCTGTCTCATCAGTCATTTTCGGTAAATTCACTTATTTCACATACTACACACATATTGTACGATGTATCGGATACATTTTATGAATCTATTGTTTAGTCGTCGTGTACGATGGTGCTAGGCGAGGACATTATCTAGGGTTAGGATATTCGACTCCGATGTACCGAACACTTTGGCGATAGTGGACGATAGTACTCGGACAATTGGATGACTTAGTTGCACGGTCATTTAGGAATTAGAATCATTGTAGTTGAAACGTATTTGGTCTAATCATTTGTGTTAGGTGTTGTTCCACTTATTGGCTTGGCCTTTGGTGAGATCTACCGGTAGTTTAGGATCATATTCCAAACTCCAAACCTAATCAAGTTAGGGCATGCGAGGAGGACTATAGTTTCCGAATTTCCCTTGATGGTTCCAAATTACACGGATTCTACTATATTACATGGGATAGAGCTTGACAGAAGGGTCATATATTCCCTATCAAAGAGTATGGAGCATCTTGTGGTTAATGGCGACAACTTCGGCTATCCATGTATTGATTGTGGGGGTAGGATGGTGGGTATATATGAAGTGACCGAATGACCTTATATTATTATGTGTTTATCAAGTCCTTCCTTGAGCCGAGAATTTTTCGGCTATTTATTGATGACGGTCTAATAAGCTTATTATTATGGAGCTGAGGTTATTCCGATTGCGACATATATAATGAGCCTATATGCGGCCGAGATTATTCCGGCTGCTCACTTTGACAAATGTATATACATGTATAT